AAATTAAAACTATTTAATCTTGAATTCTTAATTTGTACACCAAGGTGCGGTAATTTTATGAAAAATAATAATAGAAATGAAAAAACCGGACAAATTGGGCAAATACGCATTTAGACATCACATACAAAGACGCAATAAACACGGATTTCTCAACACGGAGTATGGAATCGGCATTACTTTATTGAAGAGATAAAAGCTTACAAATTCTTAATTTTAGATGATATTTTGGTTGTAAATTTAGACAATACAAAGACGGAATCATACCCACTTCAGCCTGGTGTTGCACATATGATTCCCAGTTACTACCCTCTTCTTTGTGATGTTTGGCTGCTGATGGGTGGCTCAGAGACAAATCATCAAAGTCATGAAAGTCATCATGTAGCAACTACTGGGTAAAGGTTTTTGCAGGACCATGTGACATGGGGCGAGATAATGGTGTTAATGAGTCTTTGTATGGGTCAAAGTGAAATGATTGAGTGTATGTGTTGTGAATTGCTGATGGTGTGATACGGAGTGGCTTTCGTTTGTCACATCAAGTCGCCATTTATTACATAGAAAATTAATTGGACATTCATGAGGCACATTTCAGATATATTTTGTTGTGGAAAGATCACCCTTTAATTAATGATCACTGAAGTATAACTCCAAAATATATCTCACACTCATGGAAGAAGTATACTATGAACTAAGAAAAAGTCATATTGGATTGCAAACTTAGAACGCGACAGCAGATCATTGGATGAGAACGAAAAAGGACTAAAATCTAAAATGTGAAATTGAATTGCAAGAGTTATTAGAGACCAAAGTAGCTAATTGTAGTTCATTGCATGATTAATTATATACAATTATATGAAAAATGAGACAAATTCATAGAATTCTCTTGAAGATATCAATGTTACAGTATTTGCAGTTGTGCGAAATTCTACATTTTGAGAAAAAATGCTCTTAAATTTATATTTCCATTTAACAAGGGAATATAACATGAAATATGTGACTGAAAACGTCTGAAACTGTCCTGACGCATAGTTTACATCCTCTGCTTTTCTTTGTCATTTTTCCGTTTTCTTAGGCCCCTAAGTACTTTTCTTCTCTTTTTTGTGTCACATTGGCTCTTTCTCTAAGCCATGAGAACACATCCATGATCCATTTGTCTTCAGCCACTTTCTGTAAACTTTCCTGGGGGAATGCCCAGAGCATCAAAAAGCTTTAAAACGGCAGAACTACCAATATTGAAGTATGCAACAGCATCATACAGACCCATTTCAAGACTTTCACGCCCAACATACACTTCCTTGGGGACACATTATTGTCATATCATATCGTTCAGTACCTCATTCTGGTTTTGTGTTTTTCCATGTAAACATTTTTCCAACAAGCTGTCCTCACTAAGTCTTGCATATTGTGGTTGAAGCTTTGCAGTAAGTTCCAAACGGAGTCCAGGTTCATGTTTATAAAGCTTTATCCTGTTTGCTCTGTCTTTCTGATACTTGCACCAACTTGTGCTGCTAGCAGGGCAGTGATCATGAAGTGGGCGGGACTCACTTGAAGCACAGTGCGTAAGACTTGCATGGATGGCTTTCTTCATTTCTGGCAAATTTCCCACCTTGGCCCAAATGGCTATTACATAGTAATTTTGAAGCTTCAGTTAGCTTGCCTCTTCCTCCCAGGCCTGGGTTTTCGCGCTTCAACTTGCAAAGTGCTGTGCCAACCCTTTTTTGCACATGACCGATGTACTCGTTCTTTTCAACAGTAATTCCAGAATCTTGATAGACATCCTGAACCCTGCTAAAACTTTCGCTTTCACCATCTCCATAATTTTCTGTACACTGCATGTTATGTAGTTCCACAGACCGCCTGAATATACGGTCAGAAATTTCAGGGTCCATGGCAGGAACAGAACCTTTGAAATTTGCTTTGCATACATTGTGGTCAGCTCTCCATCTCTGGTATTCCTCATTGTTCTTGTCTAAATGTTCATGTAGCTCACTTTCTTTGGTTTATCAACTGGATTATTTCCTTCCGTCACCGATTTTAGCTTGCAGTACGATGCAGACAAGGTTTCCTTAGCCTTATTGTCAACTTGAGTACTTGACAAGTTGATTTCATCTTCGAGGCAAGCAGAGCTGTTTTCTTCATCTAAACCTCTTTTGACGTCGTAATTTCTTTATTTTGTAAACCTATTCCCATAAAATGTTTGTTTCTTTCGTCTTTGAGAAACAAATTTAGCTTTTGGCATAATGTAGCAAGTGAAAACAGATCGAAGTGAGAGATAAGAAAGCCAAAATGGCGGCAACATTTTTGCTCCAATGACAGGAAAACGAGGTCAGAGGCTCGGGCTCGGTTCCAATCCCCCATGGGAAAAGTGGCGGAAAGAATTGGGAGAAGGTCATGATATTTTCCCTGTTTTTCGATGCAAAAAGTGACGCGTTTAGAAACCTGTTTCCATGGCAGTGAACTGCCATAGTGTGCTTTCAGCTAATATATTGCCTTTCCAGCAAAGTTATTGTAACAAAAACCTTTCCATATATGAAGACAGAGCATGAAAGATTTCAGATGTTAAGAAAAAAATTTTCGATGAACATACACAATTTTCACGGTTTGTTGAGGTACATACCACCTTAAGAGAAAAGGACACGGAGACAGAAAAATAGAAAATATCTCCTGATTTCAAAGAAAATGGTTCAAAAAGCAACATATAAAGAAATAAATAGACATTAACCATCAATTTTCGCTTGCATCCCCTCTGCGACCTTTTTGAGTCGCGGAATTTCGGCATCCATGTATCAGGAAATGAAGTTCCCACCTCTTCATGATCTCA